CCGAACCAGAAACTCCATAAATTCAATCCGTTATCAAAGATTCCGATCCAGAATACAAAACAACAACCGAAGCGAACCGAGAGAGATAGATATTTATAGATTCAGATGAGACCTACTTCTTAGAGGATTTCTTCTTTGGAGCAATAACAACTTGTGGAGGTTTGGGATGCTTCTCGGCTTCGCTCGGATCTAACCATTTGAGAGGATGAAGATTGTAAAAAGGCCAATTAGGTACAGTGATCAATGTCGTGAGAACAAGACCACCTGCGTAAATCAGCATCATCGTCCTGAAAGACTCCGTCGCAAACCCAACAACCACCGCGACGACGCCGGAGATCACCAGTAAGATCTGCATCAGCTGCTCCACCAATTTCTGCCCTTGCCAATCCATATCTACACAGAGAATCCCAAAATCAAAAACCAAAAAGATCCTTTTGAAAATTCAATACAAATCAAACGAGAATTTCGATACTACGAAACCTTTGGCACTGATTCGAGAAACCCTAATTTCACAGCAGAAGGATCTGATCTGAATTCGTAAACCTCTGATTTCAACAATGCAGCAGAAGAAGAACAACAAAGGAAAAGGGGACTATCATCGACTAAATATAAATCGGTTTAATAATAAACCGAAACTGGAACCGGCACGAGATCGGTTCAATTGGGCCTTGCAGTATTAATCAGCCCATTATAAACCCACAGTTAGAAGAATTCAATTAGTTCTCCGATGAACCCTAGCCGCGAGATCACGACGGTTAACTCCGGCGGCTGCGGAGCTTCGTCGATGCCATTTTCGAAACCTTAGAGTATTTTAATTCTATGGATGCTAGTTCATCAAATCTACATAGATGCCATTAGAAGCTCGGGAAAAAAAAAACTGCGTGCTTGTTGTTTAATTTGCTGTGTCGAATCTAAAACCTATAGGGCTTGATATTGTTTATTTTCTGTGAGATAGTGTAGTGTATGTTGACAGAATTGATCAAGTTATTTTGGATTCAGTTGAGGTCTCAGATTATCCAACACTTGAGTAACCTAATTTCACCTGTACACTAACTCTTGTGAGTATCATTGTTGTTCATTTCCTCCTAGGGAAATGTTAAATTGAGTATTTGTATTCTCTCTCTGAACTCATTTCTGAACCACTAGTTGATCGAATTGTTTCACTCTCTAAAACCGTTCTTTTCTTGGTGGATTGAAACTTGTGTTCATAGCTGCAGGCAAGAAGGTACTACCTTAGAGTACTCTTTAGACAGAGAAAATGCGCGATTTCAGTTTGTTCAAGTACCACACATCCTCTGGTTGAAGAAGCCGCATACAAAAGTAGTGTCCAAGTCGCTGCATAAATCCTTGAGATGATTGTAGATTCTGAGACTTTAACAAGGAATATACTCCTTCTGAGCTTCTTTTGTGTACACCTCAGGATTACAATGTTACCGAAAATTCAGACTCGGTACCAAGTCTCATTTCTTTGTGATATTGTTGGATTCACATACGATTCACTGAATTAAACAATGTTTCCACTTTTTTGACAGAGTTTGTGAACATGAGATAGATATAATAAAAGTCTAAACAATGACCATTATTCAGAATCCACTTATGGAGGAGAGAAGCAAGAATCATCATGGCATGTAAGTAAGTATTACTAAAAGATTTGCTGCATCTATTTAGAAAGTAGTCATAATATCTCTCTCTACCAATTCAAGACTCAAGCAATACATCAATAGGCCTTGTATTAACAAGCCTACAATTAAACCTAATCTCTCCAGGTCTCCCAGATTGCAAATCACCCATCTTCACCATCCCTTGTTCAAACGCCCTGAAGAACTCACCTTCATCCTCACTAAACATCTTCACATACTCCCTCGTCTCCCGGCTCGTGTACAGCGTCTGGTCCGAGTTAAGAAACCCTCTCCCCGAAACCAAGTCTTTGAAGTACTGATTATCGAAAACCCGAGGCGTTGCGTCAAGATCTCCAGTCACATTCCCATCTCCACCCAAAGGACAAAGCTTGTCAAGCTTCTTCCGATAACTTGGTTCAAGAGCAGGATCCGGTTTACCAGAACCAGACTGGTTATAAAGCCTAAACATGATGGAGAAACACCGACCTTGACCAATTGAGTGTGACCCTGATAAAGCCACCACGTCTTTAACAGAAAGATTGAATCTTTTGAAAAGATCAATCAAGAAAGTTGCGTTTGCTCTTGGACTCGGCATTATATCATCTGAATCTTTCTGACTCGCTGTTAAACTGTCTTTCCTCCCTAGCTTCACTTCCCAATCCGGTCCTCCTGTCTGGTTCAATACCCAAAATTACAAACCAGAAGAAATCGGAGAAAAGGGGGTTTTTTTTTGTTTTTTACCAGAGCGACGGCGTCACGAGAAGCCATGATAACGATGTCGGCGCAAGAAACAGTAGCAGGACAGGCTTCCTCTAAAGCTTGTTTAATGTCGTCAACAACTTCGTAAGATCTAAGTGAATTGATGTTGGAAAGTGACAGTTTTTCACCGACCATGTTCGGTGTATCGTCAAGCAACAGAGATGCGTCACATCCCTGATTTGTCAAAGAGAAATCAGAAACACAAAAAAGCGAAAAATCAAGGAAAGAGATGATTGCGTTGTTTACATTGACGAAACAGTCGTGAAATTGGAGACGCATGACTGAAGCGACGCTTCTTGCTTCTCTGATCATCGCTTTCTTCATTTCTCTTCTTACTATGGATTCAGCTTCAGGGCATGTCTCGCTGTAGAATCTTGGTCGGAGAATTTCACCGGTAACCACCGTC